CAATTCACCGAGATTCGCAAATGCACCACTATCAATGAACTTTATTTCTGTATGGCTTAAGTTGAGGAACTTCAAATTGTGCAATGTCTCGAATGTAACATTTTCAATAGTACCACTTGAATAATACTCGAATTTATTCAGAGACAAATCCAAAATTTCCACCGATTCACCCAATTGTTCAGTAACTACGTCACAGTTTTCAATTCCATTGCCGGAGATATTAAAATATGTGATGTTTTGTGTATGTCCTGTTATTTCCATTGTTCTCTGCCACTTAACTGGAATGCTTGGATAGTTTAAATAGTTTGGTTTCTCATCTAAAATAATTCGATCAAAATCGATTTTATCACTGTCGAACGCGATTTGAAGGGTCCCATTTTGGTGCATACAATTTGCATCAATTTCTTTAACATTTGTCCAGTTGACATACACCGAAACGAGTCCACCGTAAAATATATTACAGTCAATACGTTTCAATGGATTACCATTTAAAAGTAAAAGTTCTAGTCGGTAATTGTTCAAAAATGCTCCAGCCCCAATCGTCTTGATAAAATTATTTTCTAAATTTAACGTTGTCAAATAGGGAAGACTTGAAAACATTTCAAACGTTACACTTGAAATCCGATTATTCGCAAGAATGATTGTCGTTAACTGCGTCGCTCCGTCAAAATTCTCTTGATAAATATTTGTAATGTTATTGTGGGCGAGATAAATTTTCACTAGCGATGGATTGTGAACGAAGATCGTGCCGTTGATACACGTCAATCGATTATTTGAAGCAATGAATATTTGTAGATTTTTAAAATTTAACTCTTCGGAGGTTATTGTATCGATTCCATGATATGACACATCATACGTTTGTATATTCGGAAATATATCCGGAAGTGTTTTATTTAAACGATTTCCTTGACAATCGCCGGTACTTAAATGAAGCACATTGGAACGATAATAAACACTGTAGTAATTTTGGAATATTGACGCAGAACATTCATCTACTGATTCAGAATTAGAGCAAATCAATTTAACGCTATTGGTTGTATCCACATAATTACACTGGCCAACTTTATAAGCACTGATTACGCTCAAAAACAGCAACAAAACACAAAAAAGCATCTTAATTTGATTCATTTTTGGGTTTTTTCTCTTTTCACTTTGAAATGTGAACATTTCAATCGCCTTTTTGTAACTAACGCAAACAATCTGTTCAAAATGATTATATTACAATAATGCGCTATTTTATTCAACCCACTCGTACCAAGCACTTTATTTTATCAAGCATTCTAACTGCTTTTCAACAATTATTGGCGAGACAGAAAAGTACAGCTTCCTTTTCGTGAAATATTTTTACGTTTTTATCAAAATTTATCAGCAAGTGTGGTTTACCCGAAATTCAAGTGTGTCATTTGGAATATTCGTGACCTTAAAAAATTGTCGAAATGAAACTGCAACATGTCTCATGCATTTTTTCATGATCTTTTATTTTAACCATCTTAAGGTCACGAATATTATAGCCGTATGTGTTTACATCTTCAGGTTGGATAAGGCGAATGTTGAATTTTTATACTTTGTTTTGCGTCTTGGTTTCAATAAAACGACCTTTGTGATCATTTTAATGCAAAACAAATAGTGCCTGAACTCACTTTGTCAAACTGGCCTTGATTTTTCTGCAGTTAAAGTACAATCGTAAAGCTCGACACGAATTTCCGTTTTACTATATTCACAACTCATGGCATGAATATTGGATTTTATTTTGGTGAAAAAAAATAAAGAAACCGATAAAATTATTTTAGAGAATTTGCCACTCAATGAATGTAATGTGTGATATAAAGTCAAAAACAATTTGGAAAAAATTGAGAAAAACTAAGATGCGTGTCGTTGCCTATAGAAAATTCATAGCCTATCGAATAGCACATTCACTTTACACTTAATGGACCATTGTCTTCTATTTTTCTCAGTTTGCGCCAAACCTTCAAAACCACGCTCTGGACAACTGATTTGTCGAGTTCTTTCAACTTTCTCTCAAATCTTCCAACCAGTTGTTGTTCGTTTCAAGTGTTTTGGACCTTCGCCTCTAACATACATCTGAAAACAGACTAGAAATATTTAATTTGGTGTTTTTTCTGAAGTTAAAAAGATGGTCCTTTTTTCATGGAAATCCTATTTTTTAAGAAGTGAGCCATTATTGTGGTTTTTTCTGTTTGCAAAGCACAATTTTGTCTTTAATCAGATAGTTCTCAATGAACTCTATCGATTTTGACAATATTTGGTTGATAATAGTGGGGGTTTCACCTTACGTTACAGCAATTAATGTTGGAATAATGGTTCTAAGATACCTTTCAAAGAAGATCCTACCATACAAACACCCGTTTATCAAAGTTCGGTTTGTCGACGTCTCTAGCCTTATATAGTAGTGTACTAACATAATCAATCCAAAAGAAACCACTTGCATTTGATTCGTGGCTCAATTTGGGGATGAATGTTTCACCGTCCAAAATGATGAATTTTTCAGTGTATCATGCGGTACGTGAAGTAAACACCCAATTTTTGATACCCTTCATATTTTTTTCGTAACTTATTTTCCTGATTCCTAATAATCGTGTCTAAATCTATTGTTTTGGTTCAAATTTGGACGTGCTGTAACCATAAAAATCACCAAAAATGAATTTTTTCTCGACCAACCTGGTTTTCATTATTTGATGACAATTTTGAAGGGTTTGAGCATTTAAATTGGGAATACGACCGTACTTTTTGCATTCTCTAGAATCATGGCCTGGAAATGCCTATGTAATTTAAATTACCAATAAACCATTTGATCCATTCTGTAATGCAGTTTGTATACATAATCCCAAGTCAGTATAATACACTTTTCGAAGAGTGTACACGCTCTTCTCACACTCTTCGTATAGTTTTATTCGACTCCCTTCTCACACTCTTCTCACACTCTTCTCACACTCTTCTCACACTCTTCTCATTCCAGTGAAAGTAATGTTTGTATTTTGATATTTGAACGTTTTTGACGTTTATAGCATTCGTCAGTTGTGTCAAAATACAACAGAACAACAATTGCTGTTGCAACAGCAAATTCATTTTTTTTTGTATACGTTCATTTTTTTCAAAATGTCAAAAGTAAACAAAATCAAAAACTATCCATCTGTGGAAAAATTTATTATATGAGAAGAGTGTGAGAAGAGTGTGAGAAGGAAGTCGAATAAAACTATACGAAGAGTGTGAGAAGAGTGTGTACACTCTTCGAAAAGTGTATTATACTGACTTGGGATGTGTACAAAATTTGTACATGTATACATAATGTGCTACAAATGGCATTACAGAATGGATCAAATGGTTTATTGGGTTACATATAAACGAGTGAGACTCAAACATGTTCTTCTTTTTCCATCAAATATACCAGTGGTGCCACCAATTTTACATATATTGTAAGCGCATACAAAATTTTCAATATGGCTGCGTCCATGAGAGAGAAAATTTCGTCTCATTCATTTCCGCCCCATGTCTAGAATCCTTATCTTCATACCAAGTCCATGAAACAGGATACATGGTTCGAAGAGAGATTGGTTCATCTTTAGACACATGCAGAATTTGTTTTGAACTTAGCTGTCCAAAACCATTTGTGACACTTTTTCGTAAATCCAATTTGTACGTCATCACGAATGGAAACTTTTGTACAAATTGTGCTTGATAGTAGAGTAGGAGTCCCGTTAAGTCTCCTATATGCATTTGTTGACATTTTTGTTTTGTTTATATAGCACAATAAACACCTGAATTTAGTCTCATAACTAACCTAACACGTGCTAACAATGTCCAATGTTGAATAGAATTCAACGATGCTTATGCGATAAGCTGTAGTTTCCACATCTCTTCCGTACA